AGCTTCTGCCTAAGAGCTCATTGAATCTCTCTTTCATCTTAAAGCCACTCCCCCTTGTCCTGTCACTGCATGCCCTTGTCAGAAGTCCCTCATTGCCTAGGGTGATGTATCTCAAAGCCACTGAAGCTCACCGTGTCTTGGAAGCTGGCAGATAATGTCCACATCCATCTCTATGGTCCCCTGAATACCTCAGAAGTGCTGAGCCAGCACTGGAGGGCTGCTTGGCAGCAGATCTGTGGGAGAGAACCCTGCGATCTGCCTGCCTCAAACAGGGTTTTATTTTTGCCATGGTAGAATATGTCTCGGCATAGCAATGACAAAGGTGTAATGTGTCCCTTGACTCCAGTAATGACTGATATAATTCTCTTCTGTAGACTAATTTACTTTAACCTGCCTACATATTAGTAAAGTGCCAGCCACCAGGGCATCAGAGCAAATAATGGGCATTAGTACTAGTGAAACGTGTGCCTGAGAAGCAAAGGAAGGATTATTTAGTACTGCTGCTCCATTTAGGACCCAAAACTGCTGTGGTTTTTGGTTTCCTTCTTGCATTTAACCTATCCACTTCACCCTTTCTGTTTAACTCTTACCAGGATGCAGTTAGCCTGGCTGCAATTTTAAGGAAAGGGCTGGTTTATTCGTCGTTGCCATTGATACTGACCTTGCTGAAATAATGCTAATCAAAGCTCATCTTTCCAGTGATGAGCAGGACCCTATGGCGATCAGCAAAGAACATCTTCAGGGCACTGGGGGGCACTTTACGTTTCCCTAAAATCTGGTTTTCCCCGTTTTTTGGCAAGCAAGGAGAGGTTTTAATTCTTGCCTTTAACCAGCCCAAACTCAAAGTCTGTCAGATCTTTTTTTACTGCTCTTCACATTCTGGAGAAGGCCATTCCGATGCTTGTGCATGGGTAATCACATCAGACAGGTCACTTCTTTCTCTTAATTTAAGGCAAGGTTCCAGCTTGATGGACTTACAGCCTTCTCACCCCCCCCCCCCCCCCCCCCTTTCCTTGATATAGGTTTAAAAAAGTGACTAGTGACATTTAAAGGAGCCCAAACTGCAAAAAACACCCCTAAAAATTAATAACACAGTACATTAGGCTCTTAAATCTTCATGCAGCTTAATAATACCCATAAAAGCACTAGATTTCCCCTGTACAACATGCCAAATTCCTTCAGGGACTGTTTTTCCGGTGGGGAGTCAAGCTGAAACTGTGTTTATCAATCTTCAGAACCCTTTCAATTCATTATGGGAAAGGACAGCTTATTCCAAAAGATTTCTGAATCTCAGAGCAAAATATTGCCAGCTCTCCAAGTGGCAGATTGCTTTTACAGGCTTCTCTGCCATGGTTGCAGATCATACCCCCAGCATTACCAGGACACTGTGATTCCAGTGCCCCACTGATATTTGGAATGTAATTATTAGCTGGAGAGCCAGGCAGCAGGCAATTTTCCTCCCCCAGAGGCTTCCAGAACCTGTTATTTGGTCCCATCAGTTGTCTTTTACACAACGCAAAGTTCATCAGCTTTGGTTTGAAGGTCAGGCTCAGTCTGTTGCTTGTCTGGATACAGCACAAGTGTGAGCTCTCACAGCAGTGCTCGGGGCGCTTGGTGCTCACTGTGCCATGACCACGAAGATGCCACCACAAGCAAACACTCAGCAATGAGCCCTGGCTGCTGTTTGCAAGGAGAGGAATCAATAGGGACATTGCAAAATGGTATTTCTTGGGTCTTACCTGGACATGCGGTGGGTTGCTCCATCCTCTCTTTCACAGCAGCCACTTCCCAATGAAGAGGAGTAGAAAGACCTTCCCTATGAAGAGCTGGGACATATTTTCAAGCTGAAGTTGTAATACAATCACAGGATTCCAGGAACTGACACTTTAAAAACAAAAACCAAGTATGAAACTCGTAAGAACAGACTGGAGAGCAACACTTGACAGTCTTGGGCTTTTGTATCACAGCTGAAGAGCAAGTTCTTAATCAAATTGCCTTGGCTTTAATTGCAGCTATTGTAGCTTAGATTTCAATTTGTGTAAGATCCAGAGTCCCAGATGGGCTCCTATAGAGCCCTTTGAGCTTGTTCACAACCCACATTAGGTCAGGTAGCTCAGCTCATGCTGCAGTGACTTCTGCTTTGATCTAAAGCAATCCATACGTAAGTATTTTGCTCTTCATGACATTTAGCACTTAAGCAAGGTATAACTTCATGCCTTCAAACCATTCTTGGAACATTACCTCCTTAATTGTCAAGAACACAAAGAAAAGTAATGGGGTTCTTGCCCAAACTGGCATCAATGTATAAAGAGCAGAAACCCAGCAATGTTTCAGGCAGGAGCATGAACTGACCCAGGAGACTTTGCACCCAGTCATGTATTTGTTCTCCTTGGGCAGCACAATTCCCACTAATGGCAAAGAAAGTCTGTGATCTGAGTCTAGTGCCAGTTCCAAACATCCCCCAAACCAAGGCTAACGTTATTCTGAACCCAGGAAATGAGAAAATGGAGTTTGGTTCATTTTACCTTCCCTTTGAGGAGCTGCAAAGTTCGTTTTTCACAAGCCTGGGGGAAAGCTGCATTCATGCAGATTACAACTGGAATTAGCAATCACACAGGTATTCTCCACTATTCACATGACCTCAGCAGCTGAGGGTTTAAGGAAAATACATATTAAAAGACAATAAATATTCCTGCTTGCAATTCCTTCTCTGATTTTACTGGTATCAGGTTGGCAGATACATAACTGCCCTCGTAAAACCAGAATCAGACAACTGTCTTTAATGACCCTTGCAATAAAATGCCACCATCCACATCTTTTAGGAGCATGGGAATGCCATTATGCTTGTGATGCTCATGGAAATGTGGCTTGCTGCTGATACGGAGCGAACAGGAATTGATGGGAGTTCTTCCAGTTTCAGCTCAATAGGCTGCGGGTCAATGTTTTAAACTCAATTTGAAGGAAACCAGTGCTTCAAGCAGCTTTCTCCCTCCATCTGTAGCACAGCTAAAGCTGACAGATACCCTCATGTCTAACAGAGCCGGCAGTAAACTCATCACCGAGCCCTTCATTCCATTTTCTTTTCATTTCCTGTCTAACACTGAGCTCTAAATATGTTACCTTTGATGCATCAAGTTGACTTTGCACGTCCCGGTTTCCCTGCAAGCTGCCTAGCACACAGAATGGGTACATCCAGACATATCCTTCCTTTCAGAGAAAAAGAGGTAAGTTTTTCAGGCAAGGAAACACAGAAAACAATATCATATCACAGACGTGAAACAAGACTCAGCACTTCCAGAAATTCATTAAGCCCTTACCTTGTGGCCAAGTGTATTTCTCATAAAAACACCCACTATAAATACCTGAAACTATCACAAAATTCATTATATCCTAAACCCTGCAGTTGTATTACTCAGCCTCCAGTTCAAAACTTACAGTTTATGTTGTAATCTGAACTGCTTTAGCTTCAGCATGGGGTTTGCATCTGAAAAGCCTGACTTCTGAGGGAAGAAACAACAAACTTCGATAATAAAGAAGGTTTCTTCTCTCTCTTCCCCTTCCACAAGCCCGTATCATACAGTCACAGAGTGGTTTATGTTGGAAGGGAGCTTAAGGCTCATCCAGCTCCAACCCCTGCCACGGGCAGGGACCCCTTCCACCAGAGCAGCTTGCTCCAAGCCCCTGTGTCCAACCTGGCCTTGAACACTGCCAGGGATGGGGCAGCCACAGCTTCCCTGGGCACCCTGAGCCAGCGCCTCAGCACCCTCACAGGGAAGAGCTTCTGCCTAAGAGCTCATCTCAGTCTCCCCTCGGGCAGGTTAAAGCCATTCCCCTTGGCCTGTCCCTACATCCCTTGTCCCAAGCCCCTCTCCAGGTTTCCTGCAGCCCCTTCAGGCACTGGAGCTGCTCTCAGGTCTCCCCTTCAGGAGCCTTCTCTTCTCCAGGCTGCCCCAGCCCAGCTCTCTCAGCCTGGCTCCAGAGCAGAGCTGCTCCAGCCCTCTGTTCTGATGAAACCACACCTTATATTTCCTAAGTAAATCAAATAAATTGAGCTTCTTACACCTCAGAGCTCCTCCTAAGAGCCAGGCTGGAGCTGAAGCAGGACAAAGCACTGCACCCCTTGGCCACAGAGCCACCGGGTCACACAAGCAGAGAAACCATTCAAACAGTAGCTTGGCTGTGGTGTCCCAACCACAAAATCATATGTTTATTTTTTGTTTTTTTTTTTCCACCACTTTTGTTGTTTGTTGTTGTCATTTTATTGATAAAAACTACACAAAAACTAACTGATCATAATAATTAATTAAAAAAACCAAAACCCAATGTTACACATTCTCCTGTGGTTTAGAAATGGCGTCAGCCAGTGAGTTGCACCAAATACTCTTTTTGCTTTGAAAGATTTTTCCTTCTGATCCATTCCAAGCACAGCACTTCCATTTTGGGTCCCCAATGTCCATTAATTTTGCTCCACAAGCACCGCTGGACTGGAAATAGGAGTCGTTATTCCGTTCCATGTTTTCCCCTCTTATTTTTTTAGAGCCCGAAAAGGAATTATAGTGTCAACAATGAAGCACAATGAAGATAGGCAAAATCAAAAGCACCCTCCATAGTGTACAGCCTGTGTCTTAAATGTACATGCACCCAAGTTTCTTTGTTTCTGCTGCATCAATTGCCAATGTCCTTTTGGTTCAACATAAGCCTTAATGCCCATGTCTGAAGGTTGAAGTATTAGTGCTTGACCACTAAAAAAAAACACCCCCGAACCAACCAAAAAGAAACCAAAGCCCCAAAAGAAAAACCAGAAAATAGAGATTTATCTGTTGTTGCTTTAAAAAGAACAAAAAATATGAGACAGATCTTTGTCGAGTAATAACCACTGAAGAAGGGACCATGGTTGACCCACCCTACCCAAGCCCTCGCCCTCCCCTTTTGTTTTTACCTGTGGTTCTCCTTCCCTGGAACCGTGCAATGTAGAAAAATCAAATATACAAACAAAACTCTTAAATCCATCCCTTTATGTAGCTAGAGTGAAATCTATTTTTTTTTTCTCTGTTTTGTTTTAATAAGAACTTGACAATCTCTCTTTAATATTTACATTGAGGAATCTGTTTGAAAGTTTAAAGCAAAGAAAATCCTGAAGTTCTCAGTGGGTCCTGCAAGGTCGCGCTTGCACAGTCTGCGGAGGTTGCTTTAGCCCCTTCCCTTTGTCTCTGTTGGAACATTTGTAACTGGAATGGTAGATTTGAGTGTCTTGCCCTGGTCTCTTCCGAGACGAAAAGTCCCCTCAAAAGAACTCCCACTCTGCCCCTGAAGAGCTTGTCTCCACTGTTAGTTTGGTATTCTCTCAATGTAAATGGCTGGAGCAGCCGAACGCGCGATTGTAGCTATGAAGCTGTGGTCTCGACTGAGTTCCAGGTTGGTTGTCTCAGCCTGCTCCCGGGACATGGCATCGTAGCCCTTATTTACATGGAGAGGCTTATGAGCTTGGCAGTATCCGATCACCGGCTGGTCGTAACTGTAGTAGGGTAAAGTCTTCATGTGGTGAGGAACCTGCACCAGAGAAACAGAGATCAAGAAAGAGAAAGCTGTAAATGAGGTGCTCAGGCATGCATTTGTACAGCATCTATCACAGCACGGCCTCAAACCACCTGGGTGCTCAGCACATCCACACTCATCACACCGAGATAAACCTTTGAGGCTTCTAGGTTGGCTGAGGCCCACGCACATCCCTCTTGAACAGGACTGCCTACATCTGTGTTAGCCAGTGGATCCCCACTTGAGGATGGACCTTGTATCTGCTGCAAGCCTGCAGTGACCACAGCCTCCTTCTGTCCCTTCTGCCTACAGAAGCTGTGGCTGCCCCATCCCTGGCAGTGTTCAAGGCCAGGTTGGACACAGGGGCTTGGAGCAAGCTGCTCCAGTGGAAGGTGTCCCTGCCTGTGGCAGGGGTTGGAACTAGATAAGCTTTAAGGGCCCTTACAAACCAGTCTGTGATTCTGTGATTTGCTGTCTGAAGTCAGGTTAGAGGGGAATGCTCTATCCATTTCAGCAACTGTGCTTGTGGACAGACTCTCAAAGCAGTCCTGAGTGCTGAATTCTGGCCTGTTTTGGACAATCCGGCTCTGAAAGGTGAACTGGAACCTGCTAGTAGAGCCATAGAATGGTTTAGGTTGAAAGGACCGTAAGATGATCCAGTTCCAATGCCCTGCTATGGGCAGGGACACCTCACCATAGACCATGCTGCCCAAGGCTTCATCCAGCCTGGCCTTGAACACTGCCAGGGACGGGGCAGCCACAGCTTCTCTGGGCACCCTGTGCCAGCACCTCAGCACCTTCACACGGAAGAGCTTCTTCCTTCTATCTAACCCAAACTTCCCCTGTTCAGGTTTAACCCCATCACTCCCGTAACCCCTTGTCCTTGCAATACAAACCTGTTAAAAACTGGCCCTTCTTCCAGTGCCCTGAAAGGGGCTGAGCATTTCCAGAGATCCCAGCCCAGCCTGAGCATGTCAGAGCACTGGGGAACCCAGCTGCCAGCACATGGAGCTTCCAGCCCAGCTGAACACGTGTTTGTCTCTCTATGACCAAGCTGCCTGCCCCAGGTCACCATCTCCTCAGGTCTTTCTCTTACAACCTCCCCCAGATAAACACTATCAAAGCAGCTCAACAGCGCTGAGCAGATGCACACCTTGTGAAATGGTCACGTAGCTGAGCTCTATCCTGAATCCCATCTCTCTGCTTCATGGAAATACTCAGAAACTGCCAGCCTCCCCCCCCAGCCTTCTCCCTTTCCCATAAATGATCTATGCCTGCAAATGTTAATCCTGCAGCTAAATATTATTTATGGCCCAGCATCAGCTACAAATCTTTGCAGATAATTTTATCATCTGCAAGAGAGGAGCTGATCAAATAGCAAGAAATATGCTCTTAGGGATAAAAACACACTGCAGGAGATACAGGCAAGAGTTTATTGTAACACAGAAAGCCTAAGCTCATTAGAGCTGCAGATATCCTACACATAATTCAATCTTCTAACAAATGCCTTTTTATTTTCCATGCCCAACTTTAAGAGAAGACTACAGAGCTAATTTATCACAAGCTTCCATTGCAGGGCATGGAATCACAGACTGGTTTGGGTTGAAAAGGACCTTAAGATCATCCAGTTCCAACCTGCTGCCATGGGCAGGGGGGCCTCACACCAGACCAGGTCACCAAAGGTTCTTTCCAACCTGGCCTTGAACACTGCCAGGGATGGGGCAGCCACAGCTTCTCTGGGCACCCTGTGCCAGCGCCTCAGCACCCTCACAGGGAAGAGCTTCTGCCTTATCTCCAACCTGAACATCCCCAGTTTCAGTCTGAACCCATCAGCCCTTGTCCTATCCCTACAGTCCCTACGAAGAGTCCCTCCCCAACATCCCTATAGGCCCCCTTCAGACACTGGAAGCTGCTCTGAGGTCTCCACACAGCTTCTCTTCTCCAGGCTGAACAGCCCCAATGTTCTCAGCCTGGCTCCATACAGGAGCTGCTCCAGCCCCTGATCATCCTCGTGGCCTCCCCTGGACTTGCTCCAACAGCTCCACGTCCTTATGATGTTGAGGACACCAGAACTGCACACAGTGCTGCAGGGGGGTTTCACAAGAGCAGGACAGAGTGCAGGCACGCTTGGCTCAAACAGGTACGAAAAAGCAAGGGCATTAAGACTAACTGTAAGCTTTGCAGGGTTAGAGTTCCTCCTGCATTTGGATCCTCTCAGCAGCTCAATTCCTCCCTCTGCTTCTCTGCAGAATACTGGAGAGACTCCAAACCTGTTCCACTGGAAGGAATTCAGCTGCAAATGTTGTTTTACGTGACAGCTGAAAGGCAAGGATGCAGAAGACAAGCTGCTGGCCAGAATTTGATGGGACAACTGTGTTCACTTGTGGATCAAATTCAGCCACAGTAAGAAAGTGTGACTCCCTCTGGATACAGGGATATCTACGCCAATGCCTATCAGGGCCTGGATATGTCCTCAGCCTTTAAGGCAGCTCTTTATGCTTCTATAAAAGCCAAGGACCATTTGTGTTCTGGAGAGCTGAGAGATTGAGGTCCCAGCTTTACAGCAATAATCCACAGGACATTAACCTGGGTGCAGCACTGTTTGCTTGTTTTCTCCCTTTCTCCATACAGGAGTCAGAAGGATCAGGATCTCAACAGCATCCCTATAACAGGGGATGAATACGCTTCCTTTCCAGCTGTTTCTCTGTGGTTTTATATAGCTTGCTTTCACTTCAAAATCAGGTTTGTGTATGCCTCAATCACATTAGGAAGGGTCTCTGTGCCCTGTGGGTGGAGAGAAAGGTGTAAAACACAACACAGGTGTACTGGGCAACGAGGGAATGAAAAAGTTGCAGGTTAATGTGTAGAAAGCATTTCTAGGGTAATGAAGGCCAGCAATGGGTTTGCTGCTCCCCATTTTCAGGCCTGGCCCTTGTATGACTCTTCCTCTTTTCAGTGCTAGATCCCACCAAGGGAAGTAAAACAACAATCACAGAATCACAGACTGGTTTGGGTTGGAAAGGACCTTAGGAGCATCCTGTTCCAAACTCCTGCCATGGGCAGGGACACCTCACACTAGACCACGTCACCCTAATCATGTCAAATGACTGTAAGAGCCATAATCCTTAAGGTACCTCCAGTAAAACTGGGTTAAGAAACGCCACCAGCACCCCCCAGGTTAGCTCTTGCATTGGCTCCAGAGTCAAGGTAACAACCACAGAAAACATGCAACAAAACAGAACCTTCCTGATGGCAGTGAAAGGCTCCCAGAGGACAGTCCCACAGAATGAAGGGTCCTTTCCTTCCCTGAAATACCTTCCCTGACACAAGACTGGAACTGGATGAGCTTTAAGGTCCCTTCCAACCAAAACCAGTCTATGGGTTTCAGAAAGACACGAGGGATCATTTTCATGTACAGTGAAGGGACCCTACCTCAAACCAAAGCCCACAAAAGCTCTTTCAGGACACAGCCTCGACTGTAGATGCAGACTACTGCAGATGGGGGCACATTTGTGGCACCAGACTGGCACAAGTCAGAAGGATGGCAAGTACTGATGCCTCTGCTCATTAAACAAAGCTGGTACTAATCGGATTTCTTCTGATTCAGAGATCAACAAAACATATTTAAGACTACCTAAGATACTGAAAGTTAATTTTATATGTCTTTTTACTCCAGGATCTGAAGCAGCTTCTAGTTTCATTATAGCTATGGAACTAATACCTGAGATACTGAGATGTGACCTTGGAGAAGCCATTTTATGAGCTGGAAAATGAGAAGATTAAGTCCTGTCCCTACTTGCCCTTAGAGAGTAGAGCTGGTTGAGGCAAGGGCTGTTTGTGCAGGGACTAAACCAACACAACTGTAACCTAAGCCAGGATCTTTCAGCTCCTACGGTCTCCAAGAGACGACAAAGCAGAGGAGGAGAGTGAAGAAAATCCAGGCAGGTCCCTAAATACCTCAGCAAACAAATACAGCCTCTGGGATTGTGTCACCTCTATCTCAGGGCCTTTGCCATGGAAGGCATGTTTTTCACTAGCTGGAAAATGGAAGTAAGGCTGAAAATTACCTGCCAGCAAATGAAAGGCAGAGCCAGGAGCAGAACAGGGATCCTCCAGCCTCCTCCACGCTGCCACTCACCACAGCCACTTGTGCTACAGCTCTCTTTTAAGTTTAGTTCTGGACTAAGTTCAATTGTAAATGAAGATAAAGAGTTGCTTACATGGAAACAGCACAGATATAAAACTCTTTCTTTCCTATCCCAGACTGGTTTGGGTTGGAAGGGACCGTAAAGCTCATCCAGTTCCAACCCCCTGAGCAGGCTGCTCCAAGCCCTGCCTTGGCAGGTGAATTTACTGACTTATTCTATCAATTTCTGATAGAAGAGAAAGTTCTCTATAAGATGTCAGTGCTCAGGATTCATCCTGGACTCCTGCTGCAGCAATAAAGCCTGGAGTTTTATCAAAACAGCTACAAAAATCAGCATTCTTGGAATACACATCAGTAAAGATGTAACCTCACCTTATAGCCAGTGAATGCAGTGAGCTCTTAGAGACTATTTGGACTGGGGCCTAAGTGAGCATCAGGTGACCTTATTTAAAATACCATTCTCTACCACCTCTCACAGGATGTTAAACACCCTCATACACCCATAATTCCTTCCCTGATTCCTAACAGGATGCTTCAGCCAACCTGAAATTCAGCCCCGATATGAACTCTAAGGTAAGGCAGTTCTCTATCAAGTAATGCCAAGAGCCTTAACCAGAATGCCAAGCTCTTCCCACTGCAACTCCTGCTTCAGTACTTTCTTCTGTGTTCACAACAGACTCAGTGTAGTGAAGATCAGGTGAGGATCAGAGAGGAACTTTCTGCCTCCCTCAATCTGTTGCGAGATCTGATCACCAGCAGTCCCAGTTGGAATAATTTCCTGGTAAACTGCTACACCACCTTTTGGAAACACAGGTTTTCCAAACAGATCTGTTTCACGCTGGAAATATTACTGCTTTTTTCTTTATGC